TCACTTTTTATCTACGCATCTATAACTCCTATTTGGATTATGTAGATTATTCTGGGAAATTAAGACGCTACGGTGTCTTTTTAAACTGTAATTAAAATGCTACCGGCGCGAACGCTATAGATACCCTCTTTCACCATCATGTTTTATTGTTATTGTTCATTATTAAACAATAATTCAAGTTAATCAACCTACTCGGTGTTCATGCTACTTTTCGTAACCGGTTTATTAATGTTTTTCAAATGAAACGTCTTTAGTGGATTTACTACATAAATTAAATAGTTTCTTCAAACAATTGATTTTGTAAATTGTTAGATAAGTAAGCCAATAATTTAAGAAATCAACAAAAATGTAAGTTGGACGAGTAGGTATGGGCGTATTTTTATGCCGTTATAAATCATTGTTAGTCTAAAATGTTTTATTACCCACATCTTAATAATGATAATAAAGTTTTCACATTTCCCATACAAGAACAAGGCGTGTCACATAGATGCCCGACTGTTAGCGGGTCAGCTGGAAGCAGTTTAAAGTTGAAGTTCGCCATATTTGTCCCGGTAGCTGCTTTAGCTTAGTTATTTCACTAAATGCACTACATCGTAAGTTACAAAAAATATGCGGATTTATAGTAAGTATAAACCTACATTTTATTTTACAACGAGTTTTCAGTTACGGACCTTTCTTCTTTATGTTCTTTCGGGTGAAGCTCGCTTTGTGCTTCCACCTTCGGCCTAATCGTCACTTACCATCGATACCAGGTGAGATACAGGCCAAGAGCTTCCCCGTTGTGGATAAAAAAAAAACAATTTACTTAGGACATGAAATTCCCACGAGACTAATAGAAACGTGATCGAGTTAACTGCTTAACTCTGTGGGCGTTATTTTCCAAAGCCCGTGTATTAAGTTTGACCTGTCAATTATCAATTACTGTCGCGTTAGTATTGTTTGTTTTCGACCTAACCACCAGTTATGAAAGTAGACCCAGAGATTGTTAGGACTTCTATGAAAAAAGACGTAACTGTAATTTTAACCTTGCAATGCAACTAGCAAGGTTCACAGTTATGTTTAGTAACCAAGCGGTTTGAATGATGACGTGTATGATAAACGAAGAAGTATAACTAATGTCCGTCATACATCAAAGAGTAATGCTCCATACATTAGGGCCATACAGGTGGGTTTTTAATAGCTCGTAAAGGGGTGACAGGGATCGCCACCTGCCGGCTATTTCGTTTTAATGCGCTTTTGTTGCATTTATGCACACAATATGTTTTATTTAATTACACCTACCAAGTGCAATTCGACTTATATCACTCCATCAGAAAAGAAAATAATAATGTGAGCTCGCTAGTGTATTGTATGCTTTATTATACATCTGCCGAATTTTGTTTTATTAAAATTGTTGTAACTGTATGAGGAAATGCGGTAAAATCAAAGAAAAAACGAAAGTAACGGAAAATTACTTGTCTAGTATTGTCAAGCAATTTATAGACAATTAAGTTAATAATAAAATTTAAAGAAAAAACAGATAAATATAAAGAACCGCAATAGAATCGTGTTTTCTTGTCTTCCTGTTTTTACTTAACAATATAATCTGATTAATGTTACGAGTTTAGAAAGCAATTATGAAGTTAATTTAGCACTATGCCAACTGATAACAAATGTGTTGCGGACTGAGTGACATTTCGGCAAAAGGTGATTCAACGATAAAACCTGATAGCAGAAACTTTATCTGGATCGGTATTCCCTACACATACTTTGTGCCGAATAAACGTAGAGTTTAAATTATGCCACTGCATTTCAAATCGAGTGATGTTAAGGATACAACGTAGTAAAACTTAATAATTTACCCGTTATCACGACCGTGCTAGTAAGTAATTAATTTCAAAATGCCTGCATGATTCAGAGACCCTTCGCCTCTGACTTGTGCTTGCTACAGATAGCGCGGTAGCAGTTGGCGTTTGGCACACATTCCTGCCGCCCGATATGGGAGCTGAACGGGCGACCCGACGTCTCACGGTCGTACGCTCCGGTATTATTTATTGACCCTTTACACTGACGTTTCATCCAACTTTCCAACAGCTATCGACACATTTACGACCGACACAAAGATAAAGAGATCGATCCCAAAATGGCGCGGTATTGATGAACCCTCCCACTAACACCACCTACAGGGCATAATAGTCGCATTACAATTGGTATTCCGAATTGTGGATGTTGCAATGCTGCAATCATTAAATGTATGTAAAATACAATAGATTTTAGAATAGACAAAGCCTTTACAAACTATAAGGGCAGACTCTATGAATAGTATTTAAAAAAATCCAACCATAGACTAGACTAGAACAGTACGACTCTACTGAGAAACAAAAAATAACAGTTTATTCAAATGTTACACTAACTTGTCACTGTAATTTAGGCTTTCTTAGTAGATTAGGCTTTCTTAGTAGATTAGTCTTTCTTGCAGCATTTCAAAAAAATAATAATATGAACTTTTTACGGTATTACAGTTTTGGTTCATCGAGCTCGAGCTCTTAGAGAAGAGCGTTTTACAAGTCAATTTGGTGTTTAGAATCCAAGTTAAAAGGTTACCATTTACCACATTATGCTTCGATACGATCAAAGTACACTATTTATAGTCAATTGTAACGCTCTGTACCTAGATAATGCTCGCACGCACTACATTTAAAAGAGTGAGACAACTAGACAACAAATCACAATGCAAGTTCAGTGTGTGGGAAATGGCAACTAAAAGAAAGACAAGACACGGATTTAAGTGGATAATCAAATCTTAGCGACCATAATTTGCGTTACGTTCTCAAGCACGATTTGAAATTACTACGGCCCGATTATTGACTCATAATTACAGTTCTTTCCTATATTCAGCTTCCAGATAGACAAATTAGGTAGTCGACTTGCAAATACAAGCCTTGAGCTACGTCGCTTTATCCATAAAGTTCCCAGATGCATAGTAAGTAGAAAAAGTAGCTTTAGTCACTCGCTTGACTCATAATCATAATTATAGGTAGGTATTAAGGGTAACAATGGTTTTGTGTGATAGTACACTTTTCTTTCACATAAAAATAATTTATGGCTTTGAAACAAAAAGGACATTTATTTTTTTAAATAATAATCCAGACATGTTGATTGTCATTCCGGTCGTTAAACACTGTCAGAACTGAACATAGTTGATACTTATCTGAAAACTGTTCATTTTTAATGCGAGCTATTGACCGCAGGTTTTTGATTGACACGGACATAAATGCAGTGAACGATGATTCTACGAATTTGTAGTCTGTTAGAGCGTCAACAATGTTTTTAATTACATATTTATTAGCCGTCACATCATGTTTTGTTCAATAAAGCGATTGTTTATTAATTTCTGCCGATGTAGTGCATTTTCGGGACTTATTCGAACATTGTTTATCAATGTATCTTCAATAAATTGCTCACGTGTGAAAAGGTAACTACTACATGCATTATATTTATGTATACGTAATACGGTTCAGATGTATCAAATGACAAAGTGAAAGTAAACAAAAGTTGACAAGCCAACAAGTACTGAGCCACGGCCCACGGGATGCATTGTGAAACGACCACAAAATTGGATGCTGGGACTATTATGTTACAATTTACTAAAAAAACAGAGCTACAGTACAGTTGGATCAAAGTAACTTAACTCCTTTGAACAAGCTCTTGCTATTATTTTATACGTTTATAATTTAGGTCTAATGAGATGACTCATCCTCTCTACATTAGATAGTCGAGAAATCCAAGTATCATCCTTATGTACCTATTTACTCTGATTGATAATACTGACATGTAAAAATTTAATTGTGAGCTCACAAAAAGACTACTCACATAAAATTCACATTTTTGTTACCATTAGTAAAAAAAATAGCCGAAGTCTGAAATTAAAAACCAAATTCTAGATTCTTGTTTCCTGGCCACACTATTTAAGACCATATCTGATAGATTAATACATCGAATACTGTTGGTTTTCCTGACTCTCTACAACAAAATACAGTCACCGATTCGACTAAGTCATTTCACAAAAGGCAATGCTATTACTGTTTACCGTATCTGTACTGTGTAACATAAAGAGTAAGCACCCGTAAGCAGGCAACGCATCGACAACTTACAAGGTGGCGGTCGACTCATTATTTTGTCTACGGTGCGGTGTCGCATTTCAATGTGTACAGCGCGAGTTATTTACACGTCGTTATCGCTTAGATGATTACTGAATGAGTTCTTTTGTTTTAAAACAAAAACAAAAGTATGCCTAATTATGTCCACGTCAATAGAAAATGTCAATTTTGCAAGTTCATGCAGTATTAAATGAGTCGGCGGTTTAACTGACTCAATATCCTTTACAGTCAAATATAACTTTACTGAAATTACTGCTGATACCTGCATAGACAGCTCGGTGTCAAGTTATTCACTGCTATTTATCGAAAAATTTGTCCATTTTTATTGGCACAGTGTTATTATTTTTCTTTATTTAAGTATCACAAACACCGAGTAAACGTCATAATCGTGCTAAAGTCATGATGTAATCAATTCCCATGGGACATTCATCAGATGTCTGACAAGCAGGTGGCCGTATAAAATGTTACTTAATCACAATTATGACACGGAAAATTTACTTTTATTTTTTGATTAAATTGCAATGTAATGTGATGACACTGCGCCTGCGTCGCGACGTCAAATATTATTATGTCTACGATAAAACTGACGAAACAATTATGTATACAAACATACAATACCTACTGCATCGAATTAACATACATTAACTTTAACTATCCCATATTTATTCATGGAATTGTAATGCCCGTTTTCCGCCGCAATACATCAATGCTGCACTAGAATGTGTTTTGGGAAGTCACAAAGCGCCACAAAATCGTCACGTATTGGTTTTAAACGAGCGAACTAATTACCAAAGTTTGTCTTAAAGACATTAACATATTTAAAGTGAAAGAACAAGGGAACAAATTGTATCTATTACTTACATTGGTAGTTAGTTGAGTGGTCAGCGTGTGTACTTTTTCTTTCGCGTCCGCCAACTCTCTCCTCAATTTCCGCACCTGTATAAAAGGCATATTAAATAAACAGAAAAAATAACAAGGGAAAGCTGCTTATAATATAAATAATATACATAATTAATCATAATGAGAATGTTACGGCTTCTTAGAATTTCACTAATAATAAGATTTATTTCTCAGTGAATGAAGAAAGGCATAAAGTTTACATCTTTGAAATTAGACAAACGTTACAAAATATGATTCCATTAGTGATATCTCAGATTATAATCGACCTTCTGGGGTCGATTGCAACCTACAAAGAGCATAATAATATAAGAGTGAAACACAATCTAGAGTTCATTGGATGAAAAACAAATTACCTACAATATAAAAAATAATTCTCGAGTTGATTCGTCCTACTTATATGTAATCTAGTATCAGTAGAACCTCCGTTTCACGACAAATTAAATCAAACTAGGTTTTGGATTCGTAGTTAACTGTTGAGTAATCGAGCTTTATTTTACTGCGGCACCTTGCGCAATATTTTCCATTTACATGTTAATGACCCACATGCACGCATTGAGTCAATTGATTAAATTAAACCATTATTTGTTTCCGATTTTTAAATGGCACTATAAAAAAATCAGACCCGATTCTATGTTTCCATTATCTCTAACATATCGTATAATGGATGCATCTTTCCATATTTTTCAATAGTCCATTACATTTTATCTACACGACCTAGTTTGAGTTAATTGCTAGTTTTTGTATGTTACCACAGCAGCAAATTACGAGTAAAAACAACTAGCAACATGAATCCAAAACCTATTCAAGCGTTTGTTTCAGCTAATGACGTCCACTGCTGGACAGAGGCCTCTCCCAAGAATTTCCATTTCCAAAGCATGGGCTTATTTAAAAAAAATCTCAAATCAACATCATAGAGTAAACTAGTACTTAATGAAAATGATCAAGAAATAAATAAAATATGTCAGTAAAAAATATGGTTCAGTGTGGTTTTATAATCGAACAGCTCACGCAGTTAAAACGCGTTAACTCTTAGAATCAAAAATCTCCACCCACAAAGTAAAAAAAATCTCAAAGCTCATCACAGAAAAAATGACATAATACCAACAGCTACCAATCTAGTATTCTCCCGTCCAGGCTTACGTACGACTATAAAACCATCCTAAGTATGAAAATGAATGAAGTAAGTATGAAAATGTATGAACTAAGTATGAAAATGAATGAAAAAGTTCCTTACTGCGTTTGTGCGTACCTCGTGCGCCTGCCTCTCTTCAGAACCTGCGCCGGCGGCGAGCGAGGATGCAGTCGACACCAGGGATGCGGTGGATCCGTGCACTGTTCAGGATTGAAGGATGTGTTAGTGCAATGTTCTGCTGTTAGAGCGTAGCACTAGCGCAAACTTTTTGACAGCTAAGTATGTCAGTGATTGAAATTGTAGAAATTAGGATAATTTGAGTATGGTATGACTTTGGGCATCTTTGATCTTATGTAGTTATATTAATAGATGCTATTTATATTTTAATATTATTATTTTTAATTAACATTAAATGAATGATATGCTGTCACTGTACCTCAACATAATTCATTAGTGATGTGTTTAATTTGATACGTTTTTCTAGGTTATTGATTACTGTTTGTGCCAGTGGCGCCATCTGCTTAAATTAACGTGCTTCATTTATATCTAGTTGTATCGTTTAACTCTGTCTAGACTGCTAGGTATCCTGCAGAGCGGACACAATTTTAGGAATATCGGTTAAAAAGAACCACCGGTATTCTACCGATGGCACGGAGGCATTAAAGTCATTCGATGATGGTAAACGGGACTATTCCCACCTCTCGTTCCCACCACTGCAACTCCTGTGTAGCCAGGATCTACAGCTTGACCGCCATAAAAACCCACCAATGAAGGTCAAGTTTGTCCCATTCGATGATGGTAATAATAATGAACAATCCAAAGAAACATCAACGTGCAGTTTATAGTTGGCCAATAAGAAAGATAAAAAAGTGTTACTATCATTTCACTGGCTGAAATTAAATCTAAACTTACAACCAAATACGTAATAAGTACAAACCGTCGTCATTCTTCTTGGGGTAGTGATGGGAATGCCTGGGTGTGTGTAGAACGTTTCCGGGCTGGTGCGTGGGACTTAGGGCAGAACGCGGGGAGGGCGACGGCGGCTCTGAGACGCCGTAGTTAAGACCTAGGAAAATATTGGTTCATATAACACTGGTCAACAGTGGTTTTGGTGCCAAGGAACTGTATATATTTTTTGATTGAGGACCTTATGCTGGTTGCTTTAGTAGCAAATTTTTCGATTTCCTACGTGTGGTTTTCTAGATTTTGACGTGTATAGAAAAATACAAAATTTCACCAAAATCAGCGTTTATAATATTTTGAAATGCTTAAAAACTTTATTTTCCACGACTTTTGTGAATGAGGTGTAATGGAACTATCACGTTACATCCTCCAGCAGTAATCAGCCATCATATACCGATCCCATTTGCCTTGGTACCTCTCTTCCAATGGTTTTTAGGTCTTGATAGCATCGCTCTCCCTATTCTTAGCTATAGCATGCTATAGTGACCCAAGATTCTCTGGGAATTGGTCAAGATGACTGTGGAGGTAGTGCTCTTTGATGAAAATTATGACATCCTGAGTTTTTAAGGCATGTCTCACAATTTCAGAGTAGTTACTGGACTAGAGATTTCCGAAAAAAAAAATTGTAATTTCAATAACAAAATCTATGCAAATCGTTCCAAATAGTCCATCGAACTTAAGAAATCAGTATCTTTTATTAATATTGTTATTTATGGACCATTAAAAATTACTTAATAATTTAATTAAAAAAAAAATATGCTCAAACTAGGATTTTTTTTTTGTTCTTTCCTCACTTTCTCCACTCTGAACTTCATGTTCGGCTTCTTTGACCATTGTAACATTGCCTTAAGTGTTCACAGCAGATTATACAAACAATTTTGGGTATCCACGGCTTAAATACAACCACAATTTCCGACTTAAAGTAAGAAAAATAAGCACTTTTAATGAAATATTGCCTGAATTTTTGAACTTTTTAACTGTGTACACACCACAAATGTAACATAAATACATTCTGATTATTGAGACAACTTCTTGGCAATGTAGACATGATATCAAAATAAATGCATTTATAAAAATGTACCCATAACACTACAAACTGTGCAACCAAAGTACCGAATAAAGCTAAATTTTAGAACTGAGGGTAGATCCGAAACTACACGTAGGAAAAAAAAAAGAAAAATATTTTTATTATTACTAACACACACCTAATAATAAACTATCAACAGAATCTCGGCACCATTTTCATTTTGATTTTTTGTTGACCAGTGTAATTTTAACAGTAGAGAGCTCTCTAGAATCTATATATATAAAAGAAAGTCGTGTTAGTTACTTCGCTTATAACTCAAGAATGGCTGAACCGATTTAGCTGAAAATTGTCAGGGAGGTAGTTTAGAGCCAGGGGAAGGACATAGGATACTTTTTATCCCGTTCGAAATTAAAAAAAAGTCTGCTTATTTATTGCCATTAAGGCGGAACAAAGTTCGCCGGGTCAGCTAGTAGAAAATAATTATGTAGTACTTATTAGGCATATCTATTTGATACGCAATTATCTAAGATACCAACATAATATTGATCTTTCGATGTTGAAGATTATTTTTTGGATTGGACTGTCTAGGGCTGTTACTAAGAGTTCTTTTTCTTGACCGAGAGCGCACGGTAGTACGACTTGCTAATTGTCTCGACATCACAAACATCGCTTAATTAGACTGATATATTCGATTTCCTAAGGTACACATGCAATAGGTGGCAAATGTATAAGACTTTTTTTGAAGGTAGGATTATGTATAGGATTTCAAAGGACAGTTCTATAGGGCAGTTGGTATAAGTAATCGAAGGATTTGATATTGGAGTTTTAAATCTCTCACTAGCTGGTTTAAAAGAGATTGGGCTTACCAATCTTACCATATGCCAAGGTCTTAATATATTTTTCAATATTAGGTGTAGGTATGAGAGGAGATGCATCAAACACCATAAATAAAAGGCCATAATTACCTTGTCCTCCAGGTCCATATTGCACTGGTAAGCAATAGTAAGGCTCGTAATCGCTCTCCGATGATCGCTGCAGCATCGATGGGTACAGTTTCTCAGATTTAGTCGACCTGAAACCAGATTTTCTTTAGTTCCGTTCAAATTAAGGCTTAAACCTTGTCAGTTTCAATGTAATTTAGTGATATTTTGTGTCAATGTATGTAAATTTTGTAAAGATATTTTTTATATTACAAACTGACAGAGTTTAACACAAATAGGTAGGTATGTTGAGCGTACATAACGTAACACGACATGGCACAGTGATACAAATAGCAGACTTACGGACTCAAGCCTATGAAATTAACTCGAAATAATAATTAGCTTAACGATACATGTGACAAAAATAATAACACGTTGACACGTTCATAATGTGGCAGGTGCGACAGTGAAATCAATGCTGACAAAAAAACGCGTAAATAATGATTGTAATCACGATGATAATGTACATTATTAGCTATTTTGCGCTTTTTTATTCATAAGTGCCTTCAAGCTACACTTTATACCATACTTGATAATGATGATAAAGAACAAAATCGCTAAATGGACGTGTAGCCTAATAATGTTGAAATTATAAATAGAGTAAGCCGTGCCACGTTCAAATCATGCATATTATGTATGTTGAAGAGAAGCGTGCCACCTGGAAGCCAAAACATGAACAAACTTCAACCTTGTGGCATACCTTGGGAATGTCCTATCTCTGAGGTAGCTAAAAATGTAATTTATTTTCATGGTTTTAAAAACTATTTTACATTATTTTATCAATAATTTAAGAACAGCCAAATTGGTGTTAATGACGTGAATGAAACACAGAGGATATGAATGATACAAATGGATGATTAAGTAAAAGCGCGGCGCATCCATTATAAACATCGATAGTTGAAAATTTAGTAGAAAGTTTAGTAAAAACATCAACTGTGTAGGTTGCTAAAAGCGTGAGACTCAAATAAACATAATAAAATATTAAATAACCTTACGTCACAACCTCACTAATAACAATTTTGTATTTTTTACTTTAATTACTCAACACCCAATTATTTATGCAATTGAAAAGTCATTCAATAAACTATAAATTGGTTGAATGGATAATTATTGGATATGAAAGTAAGCAACTCTAATATATCAAATTGTTTAACTCACACACATGTAAAGTGTCACCAGTGGTGACTGGTATTTAAATATTTATACAGGATTATAAAACAATATCCAAATGTTTAGGAAGAGTTCTATTGATGATTATGACCAACTTTTACTAAGGGATCGAATGAAAGTCGAAAGCGAGAAAAATATCAACATTCTTAATCAACCAAAATAGAACAGCAGATTTTTTCTAGGTATTACAGGGTGTCACCATAGAACCCTTAGTATATCACTACGTACACGTGGCTCTCTATGAGGTACAACAGGATAGCACATTAAAAGATCACAGTGAAATGAACCCCTCGTGAAAACTTAGCAACAGTTTTTGAACTCAGTAAAAATCATAATCACGAGTAGAATAATTCCTTAAAAATGTTCAACTGTTTTAAGCTAACCCTGTATAGTATCAATTTAATTTGCGTGACCTACCTAATACTGTTGCTCCTGTTAAGCCTGGAGCCCTGAGCGTCGCGGTGCATGATGAGCTTATTGTGTGTGAGTGAGCTGCGGTGGTGTGAGTTAGGGGAGGTGTGGTTGTGCGCCTGCGCATGGAGCGACGTGAGCGACTCCATCGACTCGCCTTCGGAGAGGCGCCCGCTCGCCGAGTATGTGTTGCTGAAATGGGGGATAAGTGATGAAGGGGCATGCTGGCCAGTTGGAACTAATCAATTAAAAACATATCAAATAAAATCAAGATCTTTATAAGTATGTAGGCCCTTTCCAGGGCACTTGCACACGTCAGAAATATAGCTAGCCTACCATCACTTCGGGACAAAATATCGGCTGGTGCTGCCAGAGATTCAGTCAGTTTGACACAGTATCGACTACAAAAGTGTAGATACTGAACTTTATTAAACTTTTATGGCAAAAAGGCACAGATATATTTAGCGCAATTATATTTTTTTAATGTAAATCTCTTATTCTTTTTCTCACATTATATCTTAAACAAGAATAAAGACAAAACAGGGTTTGGTAAACAAATCTGACCACAACCTTGTCTCGCAAAAAATATCACTTCATTCTTATTATTGGTTCTCTATTCTCTTAAAATTCTTTATAAAATTCGTTCTCTTTCATAAGGTAATTCTTCCAGTTATTTCTACACTGCTACAACTGGCCACATTGGAAACAGGACAAAACAAGCAAGTGATGAAAAAGTACTGTTACAGATTGTTAACAAGATTCAGTTAATTAAACAACATGACACACAAATGCACGGTAAGGGCATATAGAAAATGATAGGACTTCATGGATGATTGAACATGAAAACAATGCTGAGACAAAATCACTGTACAGAACAAAATGTCTGAATGAAACAGTTGAATTACATTTAGTTTAAAAGTTCCAAAGTTCAAAAAAAGAACATGGAAAACAAAAACTGTTTCTTTTAGACCAAAACATTCTAGCCAAAAAAGTTTACATGCAAGTTTCACAATATTACACTTTTTTTTATGTCAAACTTTCCTGGCCAGTTAGAAAACAAAAGAATGCTATAACAACTCTTTAATTCGTATTTTTAATTTACCTGTGTCTTAGCCAAGGCGCGTAAGGTATTCCGTAGTCAGACTTCACTTCCGAATACGTTTGAGTGTCAGAGAGACTCCCGTCACTAATCTTGATCCCTCCTCTTTGAGTAACTCTGTAAAAATGATATAAAACTATTAGCACGTACTTTTATGGCTTTAACCAAACCTATAAAAATGCTTTACCGTACCGAAAGCAGAAAAAGACTGAGTTAAATATTCCCATGACATCTTCATAGATAAATTCGGATCAATAAACATTGAATTAGATAAGGACTGGCATTATTTACACAACATGTTACTGGAGTATCAAACATATGAATTTGAGCAAAATCGGTACTCTTTAAAATGACACAAAGTTGATTCTATCACACTCCAACAATTTAAAACAACTGTTATATTGAAAGCAGTAGTAAAGTGTGTCTTAAATAAAGTTTATGCTATTGTAAATTACCTATAATGGGCCATTGTGAATTCCAAAAGAATGCTTTACACACAAAACACAACACATAGTTGTATCACTCATTGAATGTCTACAACGCAAAGTATTTGTACAGAGTACTTTTCACTAATTGATGATTACTCACAAATACAGAGGCGTATTTAGCTAGTATTGTAAAAAAATGTTAATATTTTTCCTGAATTTTTAAAATGCATCAATTATTAATGTTTAATTTACTTACCTACTTCATTAATTTAAACAGAAAATTAATTATTTTGTTAATCAATTCAAACACATAAAATATAGTTGTTGTTTCATATTATATTTTAAACTATTATGTAGCATTTTTACTTTAAAATATTGTTTCATATTTTATTTAAAAAAGCATTTTTTAAAGCATTTCTTACTGAATACCAAAAAATGTTAAATGTACACATTAAATGCTTGTTAAGTATAATACTCAGTCCCACTCTGTACAATGGCTTCAAGACTACCAGTTACTCTATTGTCTGCAAACGAAACAAATAGTCATCTCGCTCTTTCATGAAGCTTGATCACAGAGTAAATTACCCAAACAGTTTATTGTTACTGTCTGCAGGATAATTTGTTGAGAATGATTAACTCAGTCTATCCAATATTCCCTGCATATTTCGTGAGCTTATTCTATTTGATTACATAAACAATAACTTCAAAATAGATTTAATATTAAAATAAAATTGGTTGATAAAAGGTGATAAGTAGGCTTTTGTTTAAAAATATTTGCTATTTTCAACTTATTATAAATAAAAAAAAATCTAATAAGCAAGATTTCTAATGTATACCTAATTGAAAAAATATTAAGTAATTAATTATGATTAAACTGTGATTTATGTCTACCGCTAAATATATTTATGACTGCTTTAAACAAAAATAATTTAACTTGTCAATCTATTTTTCTAAATTAATTAACTATAATATTTTGATTTGTCCTCAATCCAGAAACTGGATAAACTCTCCACTTTTCTTTAGGTCTCAAAATTATTCTTATCTTTATAGCCTGACCAGGAACATAAAAACCCTGGCATAGAGGCGCTTCAATTGCATTTGATAGTGCAACACTGAGTACAGTCGTACCTGTGTTAAATTAATAGGCTAAATTTATGTATCAGGATTCAGGATTACGGGCTAATTTGATATTTTCATAAATTAACGAAAAAATATTAATAAAGGTAACCTGGTTTAAATAAATTAAATGAAACCATCAATCGAGCTAGTAGGATTTATTTTATTATACATCAATAATCAAATTCAGAACTTGAATATTCAACTGCAATGTCTGCTCATGAACGCTTCAAACTCGGTACTTCTTTCCCAATTCCATAAAATTCAAAACTGAGAAAGTGACAAAAAACTTTAAAATAGGTAGTTGAAACAAACTACAGCTAATTTTCATAGTAGACTGTACTATACGATAAACATGTCAGTCAATTTGACAACCTTTGTCGGAAACATTATTCAATGAAAATATTGTCCGAACCCTTGGTATTTCTCTTCGACAAATACATTAACACATTGTGAACCACTTTTCTTTCACGACTATAAAAATATTTTAGCAATTTAATTCACAAAATCAATTGCACACATTTAAAATAAAGTTTGTTTACACTTTGACAGCAATAGACTGACATGCAAGGTGACATGTTAATGAAGTTTTCAGTAACTGTTGCCATTAAAAGAAATTAGTACCATTAGTTTTCCGCAACATGGCGAGGGTTTTTATGTTCCTGGTCAGGCTATACTAAATTTAATCTAACTTAGTATAATATTGAAAGATCCTTCCACACAGGACAGGACACAAACTTTCACATTTATTTTATAATATCATAAATAAGATCAGTAGTGATTAATTGATAATAAGGATTTAGAAACATTAATAGTGTTTCTGCCAATGGGGAATAACTTATTTAGTTACCTGTGATGATGGAACAACGCAGCAAACTCATGGGTGCCTGGTTTGGGTAGTGATTGTGAGCCGAGGAGCCTCTCTCGGACTGACGCTGATAGTTGTGCTGCTGCAGTTCCGCCCAAGGAGTAGGATTTTGGACCGATCCCATTTTCTGTGCGAGCAAAATTTTTAGGTCAATATTTAAAGAAATACCTTACGATGGGTCCAATTTCAAATTTGGTAATTTAAGCTACTTAACAGCTACGAAATAGGTAGTAAAATTCTTAAGTTACTACTAATAACAACCAAATTTTTAGCATCTAATTAAGACTAACTTTTAGCAACTAAATACTTACTGTGTATTTGAAGATCCTGTGTGCAAGTTTGCGTACCGCCTGATACCTTGACCTTTGTCCTTGGCACCGCTGATACTTGAGCAGTTCTTCCGCCTGAAACCAAGAGATTTACTTGATTGCATTTTAATTAATTGCAGCAGCAATTAAAAACAAACAAAAGCTTCGCGGTTTAAAAACGTAAAAACAAGCAATATGTTTGACACTTTTGACACTAGAATGACAGCTGACAACACCGCTTGACAGAGAGTGTCAACTTAAATAGGTAATTTAGCGCCATCTATGAGTATTATTAATTACTAGTTAATTACTAGTAAAACTAAACATTACGATTTTTATTGCTTTAATGTTTTGTGTGATTCTTAGTCGATAACTTTTTGAATGCATCTTTTTTTAATAAAAACATTTTGTTATAATTGAACTCAGCGTAAATAAATTGGACGTGTATTGGACACAAAACATTTGATAGCAGGAGAGATCATTTAACGACTTTTCACCGCAGTTTATTTGTGGTCATAAGAAATACAATTCGGAACTAATAAAAAACCAGATGGCGTTGATGAAAGCTTTTTACTGTCATATTAACATTACACTCTCTGTTGGTTGTCATAATTAAAAAAAACAATTGATTGACATTAACTTTATGGCGGGAATCAACAAAACTTTTTTTCATCGATTGAACTTTTGAACGTGTTTAAAAGTTAATAAAAGCAGAATAACAAGAGATTTATTTCCATGTTTGGTAATATTATTCTTACCATGTCCATGTTGAGGAGGGCCGTTTGATTGAGGAGCTGGTTGTTGAACACCGTTTTGTCTCTTTACGTAGCCAAAGTTTTGAGGAACTTTTGCCTTATTTGAGCAGCTGCTACCATTTCCACCGCTTGACACACTAGACGGCCTGGAAGATGCACCACTCGGGGATTGAAGCTGAAACAAGTTTCAAAGTAAGTAAGAACTTAACTAGTTAAGTCGATGCACGCTGCTTTTATTAAGTACCTACCTGTTCGTTTTAAGCTAATTTATTTGAGAGTGAAAATGTTTACAATTAATAATTACTTACTGAATTTAGTAACATCTAGTTTAAGTTAGTTTTCCCATGAAGTAATAGGTAAATTAGGTAATGTAGTTGTAGGTACTTTTGATTTGATAAATATGTAACTTTTAATTACCTAAGTAGGTAGTTATAGAAAGTTTTATCAATGTTACCTGTGGTCCACCACTCCTGGATGAATGTTGACTAGAAGTATTAGCAGCAGGATACTGTGAATATGAAACACAGAATAACGTTTTAGGCACAAAACCACATCCTTGCGTAAGTATTTTTTTATTCAGTTATTAATTTAAGTATTAACTTAACTACTAACAAGGCAAATCGTAGGTATTCTATGGGTTTTTTACCTGAGGATGTGGCGCGATGCCCAACTGCTGGGCAGCTGTCAGCTTCTCCCGTTTGTGGTGTTGTGGCGAATGATGACCAGTTCGGCGCTCACCTTTGCGCCCGTGGGACGGGCTCGGCGGCGCTTGAGTCGGGGGGTTCTGGAATGCACCGAGTTTACTTTACTATCCATTAAGGTTCGGCCAAACCAACGCGATCACACGCGATCGACCGGCGTGCAGCGATGGCGATCAATGCATTTAGGTCTGGTCGCCATCGCTGCACGCCGGCTAATCGCGGAGTGATCGCGTTGGTTTGCCCGAACCCTTATACACTAAAACTACTTAACTCAAAATATTTCAAAGGTATTTTTTTCTACAGATGAACAAAGTAGAGAGCGTTCGCCAGCCAGTATCTACATAAAGAAGCTATTTATAGGATTTAAGTTAGGAGCCAATGGCAAAATACTGCTCTCTGCACACTGCAGTAGGTACTGCACAGATTGGCAGATTCTATAGGCGCTCAGAATCAGTAGCGGCGTAAGGGGGGGGCGGTGGGGGCGGTCCGCCCCGGGTGTCAAGCATCAGGGGGTGACACAAGTCGCGCAGATTAGTACTCACTGGCATATCTGCATGGCAAATCTGCGGTCTATGTCATGATACGGGGGGGTGGGGGATGTGATTGTCTTTCAATCTTCGAATCGGTAGGTAACCCCAAAATCCTGGGTCGTCGATCCTAATCATCGCCCCGGGTACCCACCCATGCTACGCCGCCACTGCTCAGAATGCTTGAAATTACTGTTTGTTGTCAGTAGGTATAATCCAATGGACTCACACATTAAACAGCAAATCCAATTTATTTGCTACAAGCAACCTAAGTAAATAGGTACTTCGTCGTCAGCGTAAACAAAAACTTTTCCGTAGCAAGTAAAATTATTAAACACATTGACGTAAGCGTAAAGCTTAAAAGTTCGTAAACTTTTTACGTGCAGTTAAATTCCCGCAATCGTCAGTGCAGGTATTTCTGTAATTTTACCGCACTTAATTATTGGGTAGAGCTGAACTGCTGCTACATTTTATTTCTTTTAACTGCTAATTATGTCTCGCTTCTGCTATCGGTTGACTACTACGAAATATGAATACCAATGGCGGAGTCCCCACCCCAGGCGAGTCGGTGTACTTCTTCCAGGTGGTGTCCTGACGAGGCGCCGGGGGCTGGCGTTCCGTCTGCTGTCCGCAGTCGGCCTTGCTGCGCGTGCGACCCACTACTCGGTATACCACGCCGCTACCGCCCTCCATGCCTCTATTGCGACTTCCACCACGTCTGAAATATTAATATCATGTTAAATTTACAAAACTATAATTACCTATCTGTTTAATTGTAGAGTAGATTGAAGAAAGATTAATTTCCTAAAGGTAACCCCACATGAACATTAATTGAGATAAAGAGAGTAAAAAAGCACCTAAGTATTTAGGTATTCTATAGACCGTTATACATAAACTGTCAAAATGTACTCGTATGTAGAGAAAAGTTATTTGTTGTGGGTAAAAAAATAACTCCAAACATCACTGTTTATTTTATAAAAAAAAAACAACTTTATGTACGCATTCTTCGTAACCATAGAAGTTTTTACAAAGAACCCATGGGCGGAATATCCCCCATGAGTCAGTGAAGACATTACCAAGAAATGAAAGGACATTGTGTGCAGGGGTGAGTAAAGCATATTATGGATTAACATTTAACTAATTCAACATTATTTATTCAAAATCTGTTAGAAAGTCCAATTAGGTACTAGTTAAGGATCTTGTTTTCAGGATTTTCTCGCATTTACCATGAAAGATGATCTTTTTAGCTGATTAAGGTTTTAGTTTTATTTATGGTCGCAAATGTTTGCTAATCGCGCCACTTTTTAATTAAACGCTTTATTATTTTCCTCTGGCGCCGTTCTAATTAAGTTTCCTCAGCTCCATTAGTCATTTTCTTAAGGTTCCTTATGTGCCTCGATTAAAATGTGGTTGCTTCTATTTTTAGGTCTATTAGAAAAGCCTATGTTTGTTATTAAACGTAACATCTAGCCATGAAAATTATAATAAACGCAAATTGTAAGTGTAAGAAAAAACAATAATCTAAAAGAGGTATTCTGTATACCATGATACGAGAGCATTAGTCCCCTCGAAAATAAAAAAATATTTCAAATTATATAAAAAGAACCTTCTTTTGCGAGCCCGATTCGCACTTTGCCGTCATTTTCTTCAGCCATTTTATGAAGGAGCGTTAACACTTGAAACGCCCACTCATTACGCAGACATTTTCCGAGACTCGTTCGACCCCACTTTGTTTGCCGTGTAAAGCTCGTAGATTCTTTACATAATCCGACACAGGATAGAATTAGAAGCACTTTAACGGTTCGGCACTTTGAGATTTGGCAGTTTCAAAAACCACTCTGTTGATGAAGGTCTATTCATAGAAAAGTATGTTTATGTCGGCGTGTAAATTGTTTTTAACATGTAACAGCTTTTTATGACTTTAGATTTATTAGACAGTCCATATTTCACCATAATTAGTACCCAAACCGTCTCTAAGATTGTTGATAAATGTGAACTAATTCTATTTCACTAATATTTATTAAGTTTTTATTACTTCAAGATCATAATCAATCATAGCTGAAGTAAATTGATAACTTTTTGTCGACGACTCTACCAGTATGTACAAACAGCGTAGCGAATACCTATTAACTGCAATCTAACATACCTATACCTTGATACCTTCTATACAACATGCCCTACGTTAGAAAGTCTAGCTGAATTTCAGACCTACATTTAGTTGATGTAAAAATGTGATCAAAGCCGATAGGGCGCAGGGTGCTCTTAAAGGCTCAGGCGGGCTGAACAAAGCCGTCCAATTGATGTCAGTTGATATAAAGGGGCTCCACCGGCAAGCAACATGTCGCTCTGACCTACTTCGCATATCGGATGCACCGGCACTATTTTAAATCTATCAGACGGGATATGAGTGTCTGGAAGAAGCACTATCGTCTATTAGGGATGCACTTCGAGACTGTGCCTATGTTCATTTATAATGAATAGGTAGGTACATGTAGCTGGAAAACAAAAAATCCTTCATATTTTAATGGCATTTTCATTAAAACAGCCTCAGAGTGAAAATACGTTAGGTTTATTGTTATTTCTGGAACTACCACTGTCCATTACGTATCATTGCACTGGTTGTGACTGGGTATAGGCAAGGTTAATACTATCTTATTACCATGGTATAGGTGTAAGTAGCAGTGCAAATCTGGGAAATAATTAGTAAAAATTCCACATAATGCTGGTGTGAGCGTTGATTGCATCGTCTAAACATAAGTACAGCCAGTGAGTTTTGGCAGCACAAAGGGAGCAGAGCGTTCTAATTACATCAAGTGAAACCATGCTGATACAATTATGAGCAAGCTTTGTAAACACAATGTTAACACTGTGAAAGAATGGACGCTTTCATGGGCATCAATCATTTCTTATTGCACTCGTTAGCGATCAAAGGATCGTTTGTTCAAAACATATCACTTTATTTCAGCTTCTGGAGATAACACAATATTGCTTTTATTAACGATTACAAACGGAAAGTTAAGATTTACTAAAATCTATCAGTAAATTAAATTGTTTTTTCCATCTTCCTTATTTTTTTTTAAATACATGTATCTATTGCCCCTATAGAAGATTCCTCTATGTAGGATTTTGTATTATTCAATTAAAGGTCTGTAATGAAAACGGTTTTCTAAACATAAAAGCTTTTCCCACTCTTACTAAAGTTTTCCTCTATCCACTGAAGTTGAGCGCCTACAATTACAGGGAACAAGAAACGCAACCCTTCAGGGAAATGGTGGCAGGGAAATTATTCTTCTATCTTGAAGGCAAAGGCAGGTTAAGCAAACTGTTACAGATTACATTCGTGGGCTAGCCAGCTTTGCGGTAACAAATATCGCGCTACCGCAGTGCCCTACTTTATCGCAGCGAAGAGATGCAGCAATTTGTCAAGCATTCCTTTTATTGGTGCAATTTTGTGACCGGATACATACGAAGAGCCGGAATAAATGCATACGGACGAGATGGAATTTAAAAAGAAGTGTAAAGAATTTGCTGCAGGGACCTTCGTTGTGTACCTACTTAGCTTTATCTTCTTATATTTTGTTTTTAAAAATATTTGCTGAAAAATTTATTAATAAATGATAATATTATCCTTTAAAATAAATGTACAAATATTAGATGCTTTCGAAAAGTAAATGTGATAAAGCCAGGTGACGCGTGCGTGACACGCATTTCCTCGGCGTACCTATTTTCTGCTCAAGCAACACACTCGTAATACGTTCTAAAGCTCACCGGAGGCAGATAATACCTGGATCTTTACGGGTAGGTGTATACGTGAACTGTAATCGTAAGGCGCGTTAATCTGCACCCCCACCCTGGCTGTTTTGTCATTTGAAACATTGCAGCATTGGCGTCTTAATGAAAACTCGTCGCCCGAAGCTGCTCGCTAATGATGACGGATCCGCTGAAAGGAACAGACTCCTACCATCTCATTATCTATGAACTGAGCAGCCCTCCCATTATTCTGTCTATACCTACTATCTGGCGAGCCATTATTTTTGTAGAATGATGAATGCGTCGACTACAGTCTTTCACGTCATAGGGGATTTCTGTTGTGTCTGAGTTGCCATTAAATTCGGAACAAGTGAGAACCATATGTTATATCTATCAATGTCAGGACACTTGGGAGAAACTGTGTAAACAATCTACAACAGATGACAGTAAGAGTTGGCAAAACGAAACAGGGAAAAACCTTGAGGGACGTGCATGAACCGAATTGAGGCAAGGTTGAGAGCCACATCAAAGAGATGGCGATGATTAGAGAAGAACGGAATAAGCTCTACCAGCAAAAGCTTGCAAGTAAGTAGTAAGTAGCCCGCTACCAATCGATCAACATGGAAAGCATTGGGGGAGGCCTATGTTCAGCAGTGGACGTCCTATGGCTGAAATGATGAAGTAGTAAGTAACTATGCTCAGTTATTTTCACTACATTACATTATTTCTGAATTACCTACAATATGCAAGTTCTCTGTTTTTAGTTAAATATTCCTATCTTTTCGTATAATGTAATTTACATTCATAACTCAGTCTTGGAGCACATTCTACCACCTTAATCTTATTTACTCTTCTCAGTTAGATGACCAAAGTATTAACGAGTCACCAGTACATTTAAGTAGGTACACAAACTATCCCCAGCTGAAAATGAAATCCAACAAAGAGCCGATAGCTAAACTTCGCAAACATTTAGATGCAAACTAACCGCGTCAAACCAGCGGATATCCTGCGGTCGCAGCCAGTTTCAATAGACTTTGTTTGCTATCTAGTAGCGGAGCTTCGGTCGAACGTCGCGTCACAAACTCATCTATTAATTAAAGAGCTAGCAAAATAGGTAGGTATGGCTATAATAAATATTGGCTAGTTAAAGAGAATACACAATTACATAGTCTCTTCTGCAGATACATTTATATTATTCGTCATCTTCAGATAGATTTCGATGAAGTTGAATAAGTCCACATTTGCACATATAGGTAGGTAATGTTTGGAGACATTGGACAAAGAGATCGTAAAATAAATTGTTAAATTGATTAACCTCAAGTCCCAAAAATGAACACGTCTAAAACTGTTTTTCATAGCAAATACGAGTAGGTAAGTAAGAGTAAGCATTTACATTATTTCACAAAGTACTAATTACAAACTGGTGGTAAGCTGTAAGCCTACTTATTATACACGAAAAGGTAACTAAAATAGCCCGAGTAAATAATATAACGAGGAAACTACGAATAATTTTCCAGTTCAGTAAACCTGCAATTTCTAATGAGGGTTTTTTCAGGAATGTGAGAGGGCAAGTGTCAAGTTAACCAATGATGGATAACTTCAGCGATCACGCACGCCTAATATTTAATTAATGATTAATTAACTGAGGATTTATTCTAATAAAAAAAAAACTTAGAGAGCTCACCTAAATTTAATAAACTTACAATAACGGGTTTTAATAATATTTTTCAAGAAATCCCTAGTGAAATTACGGAAGAATAAAAAAATAAACGCGAAACGTCACTACTTACAACGAAGCAATACAAATGGGGCCCAGCACTCCGCAAGTAATATCCGAACGCGAACCCAAACTTTCGCAATGAGACTTGTTTGCAAAATAGCTCGTATTTTTAAAGTTCCACGATTGTTCCGTTCCACGGGTACAGTTTATTGCTCCCTTAAAAATTGCTAAGTTTGATTGCCCAACAGTTGTTTCGGTACGAGCTTTGTTGTTGTATCAGATACAAATTACGCAATATGAAATAGAAACTAAACACTCATCTCTAGCATTCATTTCGCAACAGCAACACTCGATACACCTACCCATTAAAAGTAATTAGAACACTAATTCCGCCCGGAATATACGTTAATAGTCCCAATTACTATCAACAATCGGTGGGCATTGATCGATAGCCCAGAATGCCTGGCCACTTTAACACAGGCCATGATTCACTTACGAAACATAACCCTCGCAGTTTGTGACGTCATCAATCGCACGCCACAACAGGGATGTGAATAATTTAATATTCTTATTATTCCCAAAGCCACCCAGCAGAATTCGAGAGGCACGAATCCAAAAGTCGCGCCTACAGTGTAAACACACGTCGTGCCGCGGTCGGTTGACTGCCATTTAAATACAGAGTTTAATGTGGTGAATATAAATTCCTAGCGATCGGAACGACCGTTGACTACCCTTGACTATGTGTTTTATGGACCTAGGGACTATCTACCTATCGATGCCGTATCTTCTTATAAGAAAACGCATTGTTCTAAAAGGGATGTATGAAAATAACGAGGAATCTTCTCCACTGCCGGGTATTTCGGCAGAATTCAACTTGAATCTTTAATAAAATCACCTATTCGGCTGAAATTGAGGATCATGATTCGCAGCGAGCTGAGGGTATCCGCCCCTGCTCATAACCCTGCAGATGCCGAAGCAATAACCTTACACGGATCAATCGCCCCGGGTCACTAACCGTATACTCATTGCCTATATTGGACGAATATTTTCAAGGATTCAACATTTTACAATTCCCTAGTATTATTTTAAGACATAAAATGATCTCTATGTGATTATGCGGTCGCGAATGGTGACCACATGTGACAAAGTAGCATACATTGACTTTGCTAACTACCACATGTTGACAAGGTTATTGTTTTACAGCCAATCAAATGAAAGTTATAGTTAAGCACAAAATAATATCATTAACAGTTAACTGAATACACAGAATGCATCTTACCAGCCTGACTTTGTCCATCTCAAAATGTAAGTTTCCTTTATGAATAGGTATACACAAAATGTTTTCTTTAAAGCACCGTAAGCTTTTAACATCTATCGCGGAAGCAAAGACACGTAGCAAGGCAACACTGATCCTAACATTAAGTTCCGCTAAATTTTCTAGCGGCATTAAAAAATTACAGCAAATAAACGTCTGTTTCACCCGCGGAAAAAGCGACAGAAGGCACAACGCGTATGGTCCACTACAACGACTAGGATACACTTAAAGACTAACACCGATAACTAAATAGTTCACAGGATTAACGTGGGCGCACCGTTTGTTCAGTTCTTTGTTAGCCGCGGTCCAGATACATCGCCAGCTGTGATCGGCGATTCGATTCTACGAGTGTGCGTCTCGCGACAGAACGATCGATGTCGGCATCAGATTTACATTTTCCGTTGAGGAAATCGGGAAAGTTTATCACGTGCGTGTGTGAGCGCCGGCGGCGAGAACGGCGCGCCCGCACGCCGATAGTGCGCGGCGGCGAGTGCCGCCCGCCCTGCCGCTGCCGTCGCGCCCGACCACCGCCGACGACATACTAAGATGCCCCATCCGCCACAACCAGCCTTACAATCTCATTTGCTACCACTCAAATCAATCCTAATCCATATAAACAGGCTCTACAATCAGAAAACGTTGAATTTTGAAAATTCATCACATCTGAAAATGTATTTGTCATTTAATTGCATCGATTGAGAATATTTAAGGACACCATGGAATTCATGGTATTAATGGCAAAGTATCATTTGCGTAGAAAAACGTATGACATTACTGACATGCAGTTGTGATGAAAGTAGAATTTTATGTAGTGCCTGTTAAGGTCCCGAATGGTGCGGAACTGTTGGGGGTGGTTAGGGTTGTGCGATGGGTCGGCGCGGGGCAGGGCGGTGAGACGTAGGAGTATCGATTTTGGCCACCCCGCCCTCTCCCCAAGCGTTGCGACAGTGTGAGTGCGCCGTACGGGTCCTCAGTGCGAGATCGTCGGCTGTTCGTTCGGAGCAGCAGCCGAATATTAACAAAAGCTTTGTTCACACCGATGCACGATGGTTCACGAGCGCTTGCCAAATGACGCGTCCAAACGTTCGTTTGGTTTATGACAACAAGCAAATATTGAGAATCACGTGTGCAAAGTTTCATGAGCGAATGGTATAGAATGGAATTTGTAAAAATAATATTCAGGAATGAGGCAATGAAGCACATGTAAAATAGAATTTGTGTAACGTTATGTTGAAATTCGTTTAGTATTTCAATTAAATTCCATGCAATATTTACTCCGTGAAATAGAATGCTAAGTACCTAGTTCCAATAGCTCTTTACAATAGATACAGGTAGGTAAGTACTATCTCAGTCTAAAATTCAATTCTCTTAAGTGAAAATACCCTAGAAGATCAGATAAGAGGCAACATCGTAACATGTCGGAGAATGACGGAAGGCGGGCCGAGCCGACCACTTGTGGATCGGGAGAGGCTCAGCTAACGTCATTGGAAAATGGATTTTCTTGTGTTCACACCTTGGGTTCTCAAATCCTTTGAGAGGACCAACAAAAATCTTTCAGTAATATTGTGTTTGAACTACACACACACCTAGTCACTGAAGTGCAGGGTATGAATTAACCAAAGAAGAAAAACAAATTAAATTACTAACCAATATCAATAAGCTCCTAACTTCTTTCACACAGAAAATAACCAAGCTAAAGTTAACTATTACGTAACAACATACCTACGTGCTACGAACAAAAGATGCAAGTACGAACTTAACCATACAATTGAATAAATCCAATAATAAAATTCGTTACGGGCGGCGCAACTACTACTCCTTAAAAGCGCTGCGTTACCGGTGCAATCCCTTCATGGCAATGAATCTCACGCCCTGAGGGAGCGTTTTAATTTGAGTTTTATCATGGCTTTAGTGGGAGTGTTATTAATCCTCAGAGGAGTATGAATATCTAGATAATAATATTTGAGATAAACGTTGATTATGTAGGTACATTTCAGAATATTATCATCTAACAAATTACAGGCGTGCTATTTTACGTAAATCAGAATTAATGTGACTCACCTGTCATCCATTTGTTGGAACTGCGATGGCTGCTGTTGATAGTTAATACGCCGGCCGTAAAGGGAAGCTCCACCTTCGGACATGTAGCCATCCATCATGTCATTATTCCTGCCACAATCCATATCATTAATATTGATTCTCCGTAAACAGTCACCATCTGACATATATCCTGAAGCAATCTCGAGATCACAGTAATCAGGATTAGAGAACCCAGGACCATAGTTTATACCCATATTTTCACGGCCGAAATTGGCTTTAACAGTATTGGCATGGTGAGGATAACCAGGTATATTCTTCTGAGTTAAGCCTGATGTCCTCATGGGCAACGTCAAATGGCTGTTATATCCTCGAAGTAACGGTCTCATTGGCAATACATTCATCAATGGATTTTCATCTTCACCAAGTGAATTATCACGACAGTGAGAAGGAGTACTAGATCTACTGTCATTTGATTTGATTTGATCTGTCAACGTTCTATTATGTTGATCAAATTGTTGCTTCAAAGTGGTTTCCAAAAGCCGTTTCTGAGCAGCTTCTTTCTCTGATATTTCTGCTTCATTGATGACGTCATTTATATACGTCGTGTTCATATCCAGTCTTTTGTTTGACGCCATGCTGTGTGGGGCCTTTGACATTTCGGATCCAGATTCACTAGATGGACGGTATATAACGCTTCCATCACTCGAATTTGAATGTTGCCCCGTGGTGCTATGAGTGGAATTCGAGTGAGAGCTTTCTGACATTTGAGATGTGCCAGTTTGGTTAGCCACATTCACCATTGGAGAAACCGCTAGGGTTTGTTTCTGAGACATTTCTTTACTTAAATTAGATTGTTCTCTACTAAATGGAAGTGCACTTACGTTATTAGTAGAATTTAAACTAGAATTGCTTTGTATAGGACTTAATTGACTATTTGTACTTTTATTTATAACATGTCTATCATCTTTTGATATTTTAAATGTTCCTTTAACGGCAGCGGTAGGTTTTGGAATACCAGTATGGTTTGGTATTCCAAATCCTTGTCCACCCGAGGGCGTCGAAGGCTGAGGTGGTAAGTTCTTAGCGCTTTCATGTGCTTTTGAATCACTTGCAGAATCAATCCTTTGTTCACTAAGCTTCATTTGACTTCCGGACAGCTTAGTCATCTTTGACTCAAGTTTTGATTTTGCGCCTCTTGATTGGTCATCTATTTGATTTAACTTAGTATTACTAATGGACTTGGGTGCTGCCAGTTTGGACTCTTTGTCACGGGCTGGCAATTTTGGACTATTTTTCGATTTTTCATTACTACTTGCCTTAGCACTAGTTTTGCTTAAATTCGTGCTGGATTCTTTCGGAGCTTTAGAATTAACTAGTTTAGACTTAACATTTTTCCCAGACTTGTCTTTTGATAGAGTGTCGCTTTGTTGTCTTATAGTCTTAGGTCCTACTAAATTAGATGATTTGATATGTGTATTGGGGATGTTAGAAGATTCATTAAGGCTTAAACTGGAATCTGATCTCTCACTCTTGGCTGAAGAGAAACCGCTGGACGAGCTAGTTCTTTTAGAAACCGCGGTGCTTTTACTGTGCTGCTTTTCATTGCCAACTTTATCTTTATTAAAAAGCTTCAGTTTGTCAAGCATTGACTGCTTCGTTGGCGTTCCATTATGGTTATTGGATGTTTGCGAGTGTTGTTGGGTTTGCAATGTGGATGGAATCTTGCTACCAGGAGCCAGAAGGGATGAGTTTGGGCGGGACCTACGATGAAACAAAAAAGTCTGTAAATATTATGTGAAATACTAAAGCAGTTTTACTTTTCAGGCAAGGTAAAGTTATTGTTTGGTATACAAGCGATGATACCAAGTGCTCACTGTCAGTACTGTCACCCATCATAACAATAACGCCCTTCTCAATTTTTGTACGAATAACAAAATATGTTGCAGAAATGTTTGGTTATAAATTTATTTGTTATAGGTAGATAATAAATGTTTGAGCATTACCCGGATGAAGACGTCGGAGCGCGTGGTATGAAGCTAACCGCTCCCTGTCCCAAGGGACTCGTGGATCGACTGGAGCTTGCGGAAAACCCGCTCTTCCCACCTGAAACAATGTGATCAAGTTACAAAAGACGTAAACACAACACAAAATGTTAATACCCCAGGGCATCACTGAAGAAAGTTTAAAAATACGGCACAAAAGTTGTCTGTTTGACCAAAATTTGTATTAATTAATTGATTATTCTGTTTACCGTTGTAATTGATACAATTTCACTATCAGAGAGAGCACTAAATTATTATTGAAACTCTTGATACAGAAAATTATCTCGAACGTCGAGCACAGTGAATTTTATCGTTATTAAGCTAACAGTACACACGAGATAAGCTGAGCTTTTATCATACACTTTAATACACGGGAGGTCTACTATGCGCCCGCGCTCCTACTAAGTTTAGTTCAGTTGAACACAACGGTAGCTACAATTGATGACCTTGTTCGTACATATTCAAATTAACCACTATGTCCTGAGCTTAACCACCCTATGATATCATTTGGAATAATTGAACAAAACTCGGCTTTGTACCTCGTCAGGAGAACCAATTTAGACTGGTCGAATGGATCGATCGATGTCATTCGAACTAAATATTCGTGACGTCATAGGAATAATAATATGCACGTGCGCAACGACCCTAAATAAGGGACGTGCGTGAGTCAGTGGTGAATGCAAATAGGGCACATTTTCCGCTGAATTTGGTTTGTTTTGGATTCACGCAAGATAATGTTGTCGTGGCAAAGGTAAACAATTTGCCGGGTGAAATCCTCTTGGAAACGCGTTGAACTGGACAATTAAATAAAATATCCGGTTAACCGGTAACTTGGGTGTAATCTATTGAACACAGGAAGGCAGCAGTAAATAAAAGAAAAATACCTATTATGTAAGTAGTATATAACACAATAATAATTGGCTGTTAATGTAAATGTCAATGATGAATTACAATTAAAAATTACCAACTAACTAGGAAAAAGTTGATTACGAAAACATAACAGTTACATCCCTGCAACAGTACAAATGAACAAGCCAATTGGGTTAACTCAAGTAAATTGACAACCAAGTCTTATTGAATAGGAAACTAAACAAAATTCGAACCTCTAGGAAATTCCGCAAGCAATAACAAACCCAGGTGTCCTGGTGACTTAGTGTTATGGAAGTGTGCGCTCGCGCAGATGCGATGCGAATAACGATGTCAATCAGCAGCGCATCCGCTGTGGCCTGAGACGATCCATCACTTTAACTACTGTTAACACCTACTTCTGATGCGGTTACGAGAATAGACATCCTTAGATTCGTGATGCACTGATCATAGAATGGGAAATGAACATAGGTCTTAATAATGCAATGAAAATCATAGTTTTCCTGACTTACTGAAAATTTAATTACATAGGTACTACCTGCGTGTCCGGAAATCTCATGAAAATACTTTTCTTTTACCTACTTTAGCCTATTTTACTACACAGGCTAGGTACTTACCTATAGTCCGGAAGACGCAAATGAAAAAACCACAAAACAAAACAAATTCATGTCAATATCGTGCCATTAATATTATAGTCCTACCTACTTGTTTAGAGATAAAAAATAATTGGGAGTTAAAAATAACCGTAATAAAATTAAGATAGCAAAAGTAATAAGTAAAGTAATAAGTTCATTATAATGTAATGAAGTTAGGTAGGTAGGTACCACTTCTTTAGGTAACCCATCTACCAGATGAAAGTATGAAATTAACCATAACACACATAGGTACCTACCTAATCCGAGGATGCATCGATTGAGATTACACCGACTATATTTAGACACACAAGTTCTTCTCTCGTAACAGCTGCCATAACTTTATTAATTCACTGTGTTAGTAACGAGAGATTAAGTGACAACAATTTAAATGAGCGTTAGCGCTGCATCCGAATTTTCGACTGCACCGGCTAGAATGCATAATAAATTGTTATTATTTGTGTCAATATTTTGATGAAACTACACTAGCTCACCGAGTAAGTAAAATACACTAGATCTTATATTACAAAATAACAAAATCTGACCGCAATAATAGAAAAACATTCGAAACAAATCTTTATCTGTCTTTAATTAGTAATTTTATTACCTCTTTGTTTTGTTTTACTTCCAAATTATAGCACTTGATTCATAACACGTTGCAACAAGCACTCTCACTGAACTCAAAGTCATAACTGTCTAAAGAATTTACGCGACCAAAGATAACAAAAATCTATCGAGAGTTAATCGACGTGGAATTCAAAACAAAGTTGTATTATTTTAATCTACTACAATGGGTTCATTGTCACGACAAAAATGTTGAATACTGGAGCAATGAATGGTTATTAGTTATTACAATTTAAACGAACACTCGCGGTGATCAAGATTCTTACACTGCACCGTCTTATTTGCTTGAACAAACAAACGATAACACCGAAAACAGTCGCTTGATAACTGTCACGCAAGTCAAAATAAATCTTAATTTATTAGTAACATTTAAATATTCATTAATTATGAAAAAAAGAACAGTACCTAGTAAGTTATATGTCTGCCTGCACTGAACTCAAATTGTCGACTGACATTGCATCGCATCGAGTAACATGGGCATACAAGCGAATGATAACACCGAATCTTTCGCGAGATAATCGACGTGGGAATCAAAACAGGAGCTTTATTTCAGATAGAATGGTTACATTGTTAGTTGGCAAGGATTATTATATTATAGATGAATATCAATTCGGTAAGATAAATATTACTGTTCTGGCGTGGGTACGGGTTCACAGCATTGATTTTTATGTGATAAGTTTACTGTCATAGAGTAGTAATAAATATGATTATAATGGAAATGAAACTACTCATTCTGGATGAGAAAATAAGTAAGAAAATAAGTTTTGTATTAATGTAGATAGATTCTAGTTTTCAAAAAGTACAGTTTTATTGATATTGCTCACAAAGATTGGCACCATTTAAACCATGGGAAAAATGATAAGTGCCAATATAAACACGCCACGAACACTTAAATTGCAAGAATATTTCGAGATAAAACATTTGTTATCACATGTGTTCCCGTTTTATCTCAATGTATCTCATTGAGATCAGCCAGCTTTATTCGATTTAGCGGGTACGATGCCGCATATAAAAAAGGTTTCCTCGGATGTTTTACATTTGATTGGAAATGTGAATATTTTATTTTTATTATGTGAATTTTGTTGTCAAGTTTAAAATCATGTCTTTTCATTATTGAACAAATTCACACATTATAACCACGTAAGTTTCACAGTATTTAGGACGATACAGTTCGTTACATTTATAATAACCGTATCAATTCATTAGATTTCAGGTGTTTAAGATGCCTTGTTTGAGGAAACACTTATAAAGGATATGAGCTGTAGTAGGTACAGGGCAACTGAACCAGTCATTTATACCTAAATAATTATTTATTGGTTTTTATTATGGAAGTTGACGGCCCTGAAAAATACAGCAGTACCTATGTAATTTAACCCAAAGCGTTGAAAGGAACTAGCTGTTTCTTTTTGTCACGAGAAGATATGTGGACAGCAATAAACTGAGTGATGCTTACACTTATCTATCAGTACCAGAGTAAATAAACTGTCAGATAAGTTTCTTCTTTACCTCCACACCCTCTGCGTGTCCCTTAGGTGCGAATTTACGGTCAATAAAAAGCCTACGAGTATGCCTACATACAAAGCATGTTATCGGCTTGTCTGTGCAACAATAAAAACAAAAAGGTTAGGAGTAATAAATGGGATATCATGACGTATACAGATAACAAACAAAATTTATGTAACCTAGGTTTAATCAAACCCCAATGGAAAAATTATCTCTTTTAAGGAAAATAGTATTATTTCAGGGAAATAATGCGAGAGTTAGTTTCAAAACCTGAAAAAGTTTCAAAAAATAAAAATCGTAATGACGGGTTGGAATTACGGAGCGATCCAAAAGTTCGTGTAGACAGATCCAAACTTTGTTCATTACGTGGATTACACGATAAACAATGGTGGTATTGCATGACGTGATAATTACCGCTCCCGAAACTAATTAATAAGTAGGTAAAGCCTGTTTTGGAAATGTATCATTTTTGGAATCCCTATTACTTGAGTGGCCCTGTTACATTAATAATTTATGTTTAGAGCCGCCTGACCTATACAGTAGTGCGCGTAAGAAATTAAGACACGGAGTCCAATGGGTACGAATTTAGTGGTCAAACATTTGTGTATCAATTTAAGCATGCTTAAATTCGTAGTTTGGTTTAGAAACGGCTAGATTTAATAATGCTATGAAACAATTTAGTAATTAGCTTACTTATTTAATCACGTGAGCTCAATTCTGTTGAAACACTAAATGCACTATGAGACATCCCAGAAACAAAAGTTTTAATCCATTATCCAATTACTAGATAAGGTTACTATTACTATAAACTTTTTCGTTTCTAAAAAGAACGAATCAACACAATTTTCCTTCTTATTGGTATAAGGAGGTGAACGAAGTCCAATACATGCGATAAGGCGTAATATCCTTTTCAATTTTCACATTCTAATATCTGTAATGCTAGGAAGCGCGGTCTACGTACAGTCAGCACAGTCTCAGTACTACGAAACGTGTACTCAATTTTCGACCTTATTTAGATTTCTGTATGGACGAAAACACACTTGTATAGTATGCTCGATTGTAGAGGTGCAAACATTCCCGTATATGGCAAGTAGGCAAGCTAATAAATCGAATTCCCCCAGCCGCTTTTCATGTGAGAAATCATATTTGATTTTCAGAAGCACGTTTACATCGATTTCTCACCAAAATGTGAGCTAAATCAACTTATTGTATACTAACTTGGAATCCAAATCGTACGGAAAATGGAAAACGTGGTGTTTTCATAAAAAAAAGTCTAGCAAGATATTCAAACTTTTCGTAGTCCTATGAAGTAATGACAAGACTAAGTACTCGTATTCACAATTGCACTGTAATTTCAGAGACTGCATCATCACAACTTGAATTTGTACCACCTACTCATTTCAGTCAAACTTAAGTTTAGACCTATATTGATCTGAATGAAAACAAAAGCGAATCAACATTAAACGTGAGCAGAAACAGAGCAGCTACCACCAGACTTGAGCATGACGCATGCACGCCGACCATATTGCGGATGCAGTAATGCGGGCGCAGGCAAAAATCACGAGCTATAACCAAACATAGCACTCAGATTGTATTTATCTTGCAAGCTAACATCTATAAATATTGTGGGTTACTGCTCTTGACTCGGGTGTAATAAATGAGTATTTTGAAACTAATAATCCAAAATTTCATAACGACAAAGTAAAGAAAAGAAAAACTAAATAGATAGAAAATATTTATTTGTATCAAAACAGGTAATACTTAGATAAATGGTGCTTTCGTGCCAAAAAAGCACCCGATCAGTAAAAGTCGACATACATACGTGTCTAGACACTGATTTTCAGCAAGCATAAACCATGAATGAGATAAGCTTTACGATTTATGAAAATTTTAGAGCTTTCACTGGTTAAACTTTACGGTCTATGAAAAATTTATGAAAACTGAAAATTTTTCTTTTTCACCCATGTTGTACATCCCTTATGAGAGTAGAAGAAGATTTAAAATAATCTTAACCGGTTTCGTGCAGGAATTCGGTTTGTCTTAATATTAGACTGGAAAAGGGTATCTCGTGTTCATTAACGTATTTTCAGCATCGGACTCTACATTCGAGCGATTAATCTATAAAATATTTCTGTAGAATAAAGTTCTTTCTTCTTTGTGAAAGAAGATTAGTAATTTGCTTATAAGCTAACTCTAAATCTCGTAATAAACTATCTCTAAAGTCTGTTAAAGTATCGTAAAAGCGAAACAATACGTACTTTACTGTTCGCACTAAACAGTACTTTAATGGACATTTATTATGGTTGTATAGCAATCAAGTGACATACTCGTAAATGTAATAGTTGGGACAATATCGTCTGTTACTCTTCGCAATATAAAGTACCTAAATACACATAAATATCAACAGTATAGCAATCAAGTGATATAAATGTAGCAGACAAACAGTCTGAGACTCACGCGGCGCGCGACAGGGATCACGGATCGTCGCACTTACACAAGTATGTAATTGGATTAATTAATTTCATTGCGTCTCCCTTCCCTGATGGTATAGTTTGTATACGCTTTCATCTTTGGTGGAAGTTAAGCTTTATTTGTAAGATAGTACGCCAGGATCGAATAGAATACTAATGTGATTGTCTGGTTTGGTTTTTAAACTCTGTGATGGCAAACAAAAATTAAACGTAGGATCTGATATCAAAAGTTACTTAAAACTAATTTAGTGTCTCCTAAACATAAAACTACCTTCTTGAATTTCCTAATTCTCAATAAAAAGGGAAATGAAAAATCTTTATTAAATTTCAAGACTTGGCATTTGAACACAAATTAAATCAGTATCTGGAACTGACTATGTTTGACGAAGTACCTATTTGTATCTTCAACAACTTTTTAATAAGATCTTACACTTTACACTTTAATCACTTGATCACTTACATTTCTTCCTTTACTAAGATTAAGTATTCGGGTATAGTTCTTGCAACTCACGAAAGTGAGTGAGCTTTACATGTGTGATGGCTCGCTACTTTTAGTTTTGATAGACATTATACTACGTTACGTACACACACAAGTAAAACTCACTCGCCTTCGTGAGTTGCAAGAACTATACTCGAATACTTAATATTAGTAAAGGAAGAGATTTCTATAACAACACACAGAGCATGAACATTTGCAACTGATATCTGTAGAGTTTTGATGGCGCCAGACATGAACGGATATGATGCCATTCATTTTAATGGACACCTCATTATTACGTCATTACTGTAAAAAGTAGGTCTTTAGGAGGGTTGCAATTTTATTTACATGGTCATTCGAAGGCCCTTATTTTATAGATAGGTTTTTTGATAATTTAATATGACTGTACTTAAATGCACGCAAGTAACTAGTAGTGTACCTAAGGTACTTATATTAAGTTTTAAAAAGTAATATAGGTACTTCAAAGTTCAAATTCAAAAGAGCTTGTAAAATCTACTACTGCTTAGGTACTGTTAATTTTTTTTCTGGTGTGTTCCTTGAACGATATAAAGAAAGTTTTATCATCAGATATCTCTACATTTCAGTCATTTATCATAGTAGACTAGTCTTACAGACAGGACTTTTAGAGGTTTTAGAGATGAGCTACAAATGCATATTATATTTTATTCGTATATTGTGCCATATTTTATGATACTACATAACAGTCTTTTCCCTGATTTAGCCACGTCAGACGCCTGGCGGTTCATTCTGACACCAGGTTTGTGACCTAAGGCTACAACTCGCACAATAAAGAATCCTAGGCTATCAAAATAAACGGGTTACAAATCTCAAAATAGAATAATCCTAGGCTATTTAATACGTACCATGAACAGGGGTAGCGGGCAGCGGTCGCTTGTCGGGCGGGGCACGGCGCGCGGCCGCCGCCGACGCCGGGAGAGGGATGGACGTCTGCAGCACCGACACCTGCCTGGAAACACAACAGCTGTTAACATGTCTGGAAGTTAGATGTATGGACAGTATTGTACACATATCCAGCCTGTTAGCTAACATGTCTGGAAGTTAGATAGATGTATGGATTGGACATATTACATCCAGCTAAAACTTTGGGATCTTTTGCGGTTGTTATTTTCCAACAAAGAGTATAAACTGATAATTATGCTGTCGACTTTGAGGGTGACTGCCTGGAAACACTATACAGCTGTTAGCTGACATGTGTGGAAGTTACATATTATATGGACACATATCCAGCTAAAACTTTGGTGTCTTTGTGATGGTCATAGAAGTGATCGTTTTCAACAAAAATGTATAGTTTGATAATTGTCTGTACTTAGGGTGGGTGGTGACCAGAGAGTAAAATGTAAAGGAAATTGATTCTGAAAACTGATATATGGTATTGATAGGTTTGTAAAAAAATAACATATTGCTTTTATGCCACAAATACATGTTGTTTAAATTCAATAAATAAGCTATTACATACGCCTCAGTGGCACCACCTTTGTTTTAACCGTAACTATAACTATAACCGGTGTTTTTGTATGGAGTTTTAATGATGGTGCAACCCAGTCTAAAACACCTAATTAATTTACATTATTTAAGAGGGTACTATGACATTTGCCCTTTTCACAATGAAGATGGAAAAGATTGTTTGCGTAAAAAGTTATTTTAAGAAAGCGTGACGTGAGAAGCTTTGAAAATTAATTCAAATGAGGCTTAAAAGGGTAACTTAATAATAAACTCGTTACAAAAATAACAAAAGTGGGCTCTTGTTTTCATGGAAATTACCGTGATTTTCTTTCGACCTACAACAAGTATTTATATCCAATTATGTTACGTCAATGTTATACAAGGTTGCTCTAATGGTAGGTTTATGGTTAGAGTACTGCCCTCAACTTTCCATGGACGATTAAAACGGTAGAGACCATGAAGAAAGATGATATTTTCCGAATAATTCGCGCGAAAGAATTCTCATTAAGCGCGGTCCACCTGGGAGCGTGCAGGTGAGTCATTACACGACTTCAAAGGATCCTTCCCTTAGTAATTAAATATACAAGGTGACACGTTCTTATTACGACATATCACTATCTATATCGAAGTCATAAGAGCCATAATCGATTACCGTTAAAGAGCTTCCACTAATCTAGATTTGATGAAGGTAAACCAAAGGTCGCGGGAAGAGCCTGGATGCGGGCAGCGCAGGACCGTTCATTATGGAAAACCTTGGGGGAGGCCTTTGTCCAGCAGTGGACGTCATTTGGCTGAAACGAACGAAACTAAAGATTATGGAGACACACAACGATAGTAAAAACTGAAAAGATACCAACTATTGGTTTAGCACTTAAATCAGTCAGTGACTGAAGTATGGGAGCGACACGGGAGGTTTTGAGACGTCAAACGCCAACGAGACTTCAGATATGCGTCAGATTTGTATGTTCTGACACGTCATATGTCAATGTCACCCCTCCCGTGCCGGTCCCAAACCTCAGGCACTGACAGAGTTAAGCGCTATAAGTAATAAGCATTTTTATTTTCCTCGTAAAAGAAAAGTGAATTTTCTCGTCAAAACTTTTTGTACCTATCCGTCGTTATTCTCTAAAGGCTTTTCAATTTGTCGACCTTATAAACGTTAATCTACGGCGCCTTGATCGAAAAGAAAGCAGTTAGCAGCAATTGATACCCATCAGAATTAAGTGGATAATTGAGGTGGGAGCTGGTAGCCGTGTTCCTAACTAATCAGGGCACTTACGGGCGAGAGGATTTTTAGAAGGAAAAGTTAGAATAACGTACTACAACACGCTTGTTGAGAAATAAAGAATGCTGAACTTTATTTTGCTGTCTAGACAAACAACAATAAATTAATTACAAAACATGGTTTGTTTATTTTAGTGCAGCTAACAGCATATCAGACTATAGTTTGTTAAAAATTACGCTGTAACAACTAGTACTTACGTTAGGATACCGCAGCTGCAGTGGTAACCTTAATGTACCTTCGTGCGTGCCTATCTACTTTAAAAGACAAAAGACTGTTTGATTCGCATATCAGTAGGCCTAGGATGCGCGCCCGTGCTAAGGATTTATCGCGCCATTTTATCGATATTACGCGATAAACCCTTACGTTTGTCGTCTATAATCATCGATAAGATTTTATCACGGTACGCATCCTAGCCCGGCAGGAGGTCAAAGGTAGGTAGCATAGTAAAACGTAGAAAGTCGGCTTTCCACAAATACAATGGGCATTACATTACGTATCTGCTTAATTCAGCTAGGTGCAGCTTATTCAAGCACGACACTCACACAATGGCTCAGTTATCCTCCAAATACAGTTTACTTGGAAGCTCCTAATACGGATGCGATACATAGTAATTCCTGCCGCCAGGCCGCGTCGTGGGTCACGACTCTATAATAAACTACCCACTAGCTGAAACGCTAGATCATACTGTTACAGCCTTTGTACAGTTGCCTAGGTATATAGGTCTATTTCATTTTGTTGCAAAATAGCATCTATTACAACTGCATAGGATAGGTAGTATGATTTTTAGCTTGTGCCGTCAGTACACTACTCAGGTATAGATAGAGAACGAATAATGAAAACAGACGGGCGCTTATTGAACGAGAAAAATCGCACACATGAGATTTTCAGTAAACCTCTTTTGATGTTTAAATAAAAGAAAATGATTATATTATTTTAGTATCAAATGGTAAATGTCAAATAAAATATATTTTCAAAAAATATATTATGTGGAAGTTATACTCTTAGTTCTGCAGCACTGGTTACGTGATGTTAATATTCGAAAGTGTATTGTGGGATATTCTAAATAAATAAATCTATGAAAAAAATTGTCATAAAGAGATTCCTAGAGCAAAGAAAATATTTCATCAATTCTGAAAACCACTGAAAGTTCATGTCTTGATAGTTTCAGTTGACTTACGCCATCTTTTGTCACAACTATACACTACACGGCGCACGTATCGTACTTCATATCACTAAAATTGCTATTCGACGCTAGATGGCGCTACATTAAAAGCTCTACCTGTGTCTCTACTGTTCACCATTAGAATTTATTGATATTATTCTATATAATTTAAGATACTAGGTAAGTTAATATAGAGCTTGAGAGAGTCACTATACATATTTATTATTCTCATAGGTCTTAAAGCATTTTTATTTTACTAGATACGTGTAGGTAATTCAGCCGAGGGAGAATCAGCAAATTAAATATCATAAAAGTCCATTCCCATTTAAGCAATGCGGTGCGAGCACTTTGGTGATACATCTTAATCCAATAGTCTGCGGTCTCGACGGAAATTGCTCTTTTTGTATTTCCCATCTTACACACTAAACGTTCGCAATCTCGCCTCTGACGGGAAGAAATTATCTATTGTAGATACGAACACTACATACAAAGAGACGTTTTATTTACGATGTGATGTGATGTGATTTTAGAGTTCCCTAATTCACTTATGTTATGCGTAATTTGGGTATTAATTAATTATGTAGCATGAGTTAAATCAACCAAAACAGTAAGCTATGTAGAAATCTTAACGTGACCCCAGGCGACAAAACCTAGTCCAAACATTGTTATGCTTACTTTCCTACCCACATTGAATTGTCCACCTGCCTAGAGCCACGTGAGAAAATGTACTTTACAAACCTAGGCCTAGAATTATGTAATTTATCCCTTTGTCTGATCACAGCCGATAACAACGGCATTATCTAACTAAACAATGAACATCTGGCTGCGTACACGCAGTCACGTCACGCGGCTCTGTGGAGTGACATTTACAAGCCCTTACGCAAGTGACACATGAGACACGATGCCGACACTCGTGTCCAACACGCGTAAGTGTTGCATTATTAACAATATCGATATCCATTTATCGAGTACTTAAATCAATATGAAAGTATTATAATCGATTTAAAAGTTGGGCCAGGACATGATTACCTACACGTATTAGAACCTACTAGAAGTTTGATTTTTCTCATTCTAATATTCGTATTAATTTTTTATATGGATCTATCAACTGTTATCACAATGAAAAGAATAATATACAGAGGATTGATATGAATCAATTCATTTTTTAACTGACAGGGTAACTTTTTCACCCCATAAACAAAACGTTTATTAGGGGAGCGAGCCAGGGAATTATTGGTATTTCGATAAAATTGTACTAACATCCCTTTATGTTTTATACGGATAGTTTTCGCTTCTAGCTCTATATTTGCTCACCCGTTTACTTATTCACGTGTACATTTCGCTTTGTTTCCGATAGAGCGGGTTTGCTCTAGTTCTGCTTTGGCATTTTCGCAACGATTCAATAGACCCCAAAAGAGCGAAAATGGTTTTTGATAACGCGATTTTGTGACCACTTTGTGTTTGTTTTTACTATTTCTACAGGAATATTTTCATTTGCTGTCGCAAGCATCTTTCAATCTCAAAGACACATTCAAGTACAAGGAGGTGATTAGAATCAATTACCTATACCATAATTAATTAATAACTAAAAAGTTACAGAGTTTTAGGTAATAATATGTAAGTTAAGGTAAGCTAGAATCACAAATTCGTATATTATTCACATCAATAATTTTACGATAAACGTACTACAATAAAATGCCTTTTACTAACCCGTTAGATGCGCAACTAATATAACATTAGCCATCTGTCTACATCTCTACATAGATCTAGCTAAAGCACCAGTTTCACAGATTCACAGCAGCCATTTCAGCTAACTGAAATCCAACTATCACTATTGTAGGTTTTCGGCGAGGTCAGTTTGAAACGAGGTTTCGATGGGTAGTTATCAAAATAAAGTTAACCTATTTTCCACGCTGTTAGATTGTTTTTCAATTTGGGAAAAGACCGATACTGTGAAATGTGAATGATATTCACTGTTTTATTTTGTTAGGTTAGAACAGAAACATGGGTCTCTATGCCATAAGTTTTCTTTCTGTCATTAACGAAGCGTTACTTA